TGTAGTGTGTAGAAAAAAAGAAAAAAAAAAAAATTACTATTTAATCTACATCTTCGATATTAGATATATTAATGATTGGATAAAAATATATTTATAATTATATACATATATATATTATAGTACAAATGCATTATATGGATAATAAATTTAAAACTACTATACATTATTAAAAATTAAATAAATTTTTCATGTACAAATAATATAAATAAATAAATAAATAAATAAATAAATAATAAATAAATAAATAATAAATAATAAATAAATAAATAAATAAATAATAAATAAATAAATAATAAATAAATAAATAAATAAATAAATAATAAATAAATAAATAATAAATAAATAAATAAATAAATAAATAAATAAATAAATAAATAAATAAATAAATAAATAAATAAATAAATAAATAAATAAATAAATAATAAATAAAAATATTTACTCAATAAAATTTACCATTTAATTTATATAATAAATTAATATTTTTCTAAAACCAATATTTAAAAAACGTTTTAAAAAGGTATAACTATTTTTTAAGAATAATGGCTTTTTGGAAAGTAATATATTATTTTTTTGTAGATTATGTCTTTTAATAATTAATTTTTTTTTCTTAGTATTATTTATTTATTTTATATTTATTTATTTATTTATTTATTTATTATTTATTAAATTATATAATATTATATAATAGCCAGGTACAGTTGCTCCTGGTAGCAATGTTACAACGGAAAACGATGAGGAAAATATTATAATATATAATCCGTATGATAATAAAATTTCAATAAATCAACAAAAAGTCAATCTTCCAGTATATAAAAATAGTATCCTTTTAATAAAATATTTTTTTTTTTTATTTTTACACTTTTGAATTATTAATACAATGAATTTTGTTTTAAATTAGAATTATTATACCTTAATACTTTTATTTTATAATTATACTTTAAATAGAAATTCATTTATTATACCTTGTAGAGAAATATCAAGTTGTTATTGTTGTAGGTCAAACAGGTTCTGGAAAAACTACTCGTAATGGATAATATTTTTCTTTGTCATTCAAATTTAAAAAATTATTATTATTAAATTAAATTTGTTATATATAATAGAAATACCTCAATATCTGAATGAAGCTGGGTGGACTTCTAATGGTAAAATGATTGCCTCTGTCCAAGTAATAAGATAAAAAAAAATTAATTTTTATTATACAATTTTTTTTAATGGCTTAATTATTAATTACTTTTTATAAATATTAATTAATAATAATATAGCCTAGAAGAGTTGCTGCAACAACAATGGCAACAAGAGTTGCAAAAGAAATGGGTGTAAATTTAGGTCTTGAGGTAAAAATAATTAGAAATATTACTTTAGAAATATTTACTAAAATATATTAATAAAATATTTTATGTTCATTTGATTTTTAAATTTAAAAAGGTTGGTTACTCTGTTAGATTTGATGAAAAATATGATGAAAAATTGACAAAAATAAAATATATGACAGATGGGATGTTATTTAGGGAAATGATGATAGATCCATTATTAAATAATTATAGTGTAATAATGGTTGATGAAGCACATGAAAGAAGTATATATACTGATTTAATCATAGGATTAATTAAAAAGTATCTATTTATTTATTTATTTTAAATATATATATAGATTTTAAAGTAATTAATATGAATATATATTTATTATATATATGATATATATAATAAATATTTAAATTTGAATAATTAATAATTAGAATTTTAAAGAAAAGAAAAGATTTAAAAATAATAATAGCTTCTGCTACACTTGATGTAGAAACATTTTATAATTTTTATAATAACAATAGAACAGATGATAGTACTAAAGATAATGTTGCAATTATTTCAGTTGAAGGTAGAAATTATCCTATTGATGTTATGTATTTAGAAGAGCCATGCGATAATTATATAAATAAATCAATAGAAACAGCTTTGAAAATTCACATTAATGTATGCATTATAATCAATAATAAAAATATAATAAATTATTAATATAATATAGATATTAATTAACATTAAACGGTATAATATGAAAAAAGGAAGGTCCAGGAGATATTTTAATATTTTTAACAGGAAAAGATGAAGTTAATGAAGTTGTTCAAGAATTAACAGATAGATCTTTTAATATGTAAAAATATTTTTAAATATATTATTATTATTATTATTATTATTATTATTATTATTATTATTATTATTATTATTATTATTATTATTATTATTATTATTATTATTATTATTATTATTATTATTATTATTATTATTATTATTATTATTATTATTATTATTATTATTATTATTATTATTATTATTATTATTATTATTATTATTATTATTATTATTATTATTTTAATTTCCATTAATTAATATTTAGATGTATATAATAAAAATATATATATCTAAAATATAATTATTAGTAATAAAAAGATGAAATTACTCGCATTACCTATATATAGTGGCTTAGACACTGAGAATCAAATGAAAGTATTTGAAAAGCTTTCATCTAATACACGTAAAGTTGTAGTCGCGACAAATATAGCTGAAGCGTCAATTACTATTGATGGAATCAAATATGTTATAGATTGTGGTTTTGTTAAAGTAATTTATATATATTAGTATTAATTTATTATTAATATCTATTAAAGTATTATTAATCTTTTACATATATAAATAGATAAAAGCATATAATCCAAATACAGGGATGGAAAATTTAATGATTGTACCATGCTCCAAAGCGTCAATACAACAGCGTTCTGGTCGTGCAGGAAGAACAAGTACTGGAAAAGTTTACAGATTATTCACAGAAAAATCATTTCAAAATTTATCAGATAATACTGTACCTGAAATTCAAAGGTATATAATATGTATTATATTTTGGAATTTATATGAATAATAATTACAGTAAAAATAAATAAAAAAAAATTTTATTTATTAATTTAATTAATTAATTAATTAATTAATTAATATTAGGAGTAATCTTGCAACAATTATACTACAATTAAAAGCATTAGGAATAGAAAATATTTTAAGATTTAATTTTCTTTCATCACCTCCAGCTCAGCTTGTTATAAGAGCATTAGAATTATTATATTCATTAAATGCATTAGATAATTATGGAAGATTAACGGAACCATTTGGTATGAGATTGGCAGAATTTCCAGTTGAACCTATGCTTGGAACTATGGTTTAGTATAATATAAATATATTATTAATAATTGATATCTAATAATAATATAATATATAATATAATACAATATTTTTTGTAGTTATTAAATTCTCAAAAGTTCGAATGCGGTAAAGAAATATTAACTATTGCAGCAATGATATCTGTTGAGGTTTGAATTTAAAATTTAAAATATTTTTAATTTATCAATATAATTTTTGAAACCTAGTTACTATTTATTACCATTACCATTACTATTTATTGCCATCATCATTATAGTATCATTATTATTATTATTTATTATTAATTATTAATAATTATAAATTATTATTATTTAATTTTTTAAATTATTATTATTTAATTTTTTCATAGAATATATTTATTTGTCCAAATAGCGCAAAACATGAGGCAGATGAAGAGAAAAGAAAATTTTCAGTGGAAGAAGGAGATCATATAACTTTTATAAATGGTAATTATATTACCCACTTTATAAATATAGTATTACATTAATAATTTTATTTTTAATATTTATTGTGTTTTATTATATAATAAATTAATATATAATAAAACAGTATATAACGCATTTTTAGAAAATAAAAAAAGTTCAAAGTGGTGCTATAAACATTTTTTAAATTATCATAGTTTATTACAAGCAGTATCTGTAAGAAATCAATTAGTTAAATATTTTCATCGTTTTAATTTACAAATAAAAAGTTGCGAAGGTGATATTGATAGGTTGAGAAAATGTATTGTAACTGGATTCTTCTCTCAAGCTGCTAAACTTCAAATGGATGGCTCGTATAAAACCGTTAGAGATGATGTTGTAAATATATTAATATTTATTTTTTATCTATTTTATAATTTAGCTGTGTTCATTAAATATTAATATTATATATAATATAAAGGAACTTCATATTCATCCTACTTCTGTACTATTTAAAAGATCTCCAAAATGGGTTATATTTAACCAAGGTAATATATATACATCATATTTTTATTTATTTATTTATTTATTTATTTATTTATTTATTTATTTATTTATTTATTTATTTATTTATTTATTTATTTATTTATTTATTTATTTATTTATTTATTTATTTATTTATTTATTTATTTATTTATTTATTTACTAATCATTAATGTTTATATAATCATTTTAATATATATCTAATCATTTTAGTTGTACAAACTACCAAATATTACATGAGGAATGTTACAGTGATAGAACCAGAGTGGTTATCGGAACTAGCGTAATTAAAATATTTTTTATTCATATAATTATTTTTTATATTTATTCACTAATATTATTATTATTATTATTATTATTATTATTATTATTATTATTATTATTATTATTATTATTATTATTATTATTATTATTATTATTATTATTATTATTATTATTATTATTATTATTATTATTATTATTATTATTATTATTATTATTATTATTATTATTATTATTATTATTATTATTATTATTATTATTATTAATATTATTATTATTATTATTATTATTATTATTATTATTATTATTATTATTATTATTATTTGTATACTTTTTTGAAGGCCCCACTTTTATAAAATAAAACAAACAAAAAAAATAGATCTATCATAATTGTATATTATTTATTAAAATAATACTAAATAAACTAATAAATTAAAATTAAATAAATAAAAATGATTTATACCTAAATATAAACTTTATTTAATATAAATAAAATAAATAATAAATAAAAATTCATACTCATATGAAAATAAAATTCATACTCATATGAAAATATACAATATTTTTTAAAAAAAGATATTATATATTTAATTACTTTTATTCACTGTTATTATTTTTGTTTTTATTTTATTATTATCATTATTTAATATATTTACATATATTTTTTAGTTTATTTTTAAGATATTCATTTATTTTATTATATTTTTATTGATAATTTATTTTATTTGCATTATAATGTTTTCTGTTTATTTTTGTTTTTACTCTTTATATTGTTTATATATTTATTATTTTTGTTTTTGCTTTATATTGTTTAAATATTGTATTTTAATAAAATATTATATTAGCATTAAACATTATTTTATTAATAAATGATTTATTTCATTATAATATATTTAAACAATTTATTTCATTTAATGTTAGGTAGTAAGAATTTTACACATATATTTAAATAATGTTTAGATGATTAATAATTTATTTTTGATAGTTTTCCCATCCAACCTTTTCTAATTTGTCAACTTTAACTAATACTTCTTTATTCATGTTAGTTTGATATTCATCCATTTTTTCTAAGTATTTTGGAATAGATGAACCAAGAATACGAACAGCTAATAAAGCAGCATTAGTAGAATTATTAATAGCAACAGTAGCAACTGGGACACCACGCTATTTAAGTATAATATAATATATATAATATAAAATTTATATTATATATATGAAAATAAACATTTATAGTTTTTATTAAATATATAATAATTAATTATTTTTATAAAAATGTTAAGTATTTATTTATAATTTTTATACTTACAGGCATTTGAACAATTGAGTATAATGAATCAACACCATCAAGAACTCTTAAGGCAACTGGACAACCAATAACTGGAAGTGGTGTTATAGCTGCGACCATACCTGGAAGGTGTGCAGCACCACCAGCGGCAGCAATAATTAATTTAATACCTCTCTTGTGAGCATTCTTAGCATATTCAAACATTCTATCTGGAGTACGATGAGCAGAAACAATTGAAAGTTCAAACGGAACATCAAAGTCCTTTAAAATTTGAGCACATGGTTTCATAGTTGGTAAGTCAGAATCACTTCCCATTATAATGGCAACCATAGGAGAAATACTAAATTCATACTTTTTACCATTTGGCATATATTCCAAAAGTTTTTCAACCTTTTCAACGACTTCTGGCATAGTATCGGCAGTAACGGTAATATGTCCCATTTTTCTACCTTTACGACATTCACGCTTACCATATAAATGTACAGTTGCACCTGGAATAGTCATAGAGGCTTGACATGGGCGAAGAGTGTCAGCTAAACCTTCTTCACCGTCTCCAGTACCAAGGATATTAACCATAGCAGCAGCACCAACTCTCATCTTTGTAGAACCTAATGGTAAATCTAAAATTGCACGAATATGTTGTTCAAATTGAGATGTTTCACAGGCTTCAATAGTGTAATGACCAGAATTGTGTGGACGTGGAGCAATTTCGTTAACGAGAATTTCACCTATAATTTATATTATTGATATTGTTATAATAATTCAAAAATTCAATACATAAATATATAAAATATATGATATTTATTATTTATAACTAATTCATTTTATAATATATTATTTATATTTATACTTATATTTATATTTATATTTATATTTATATTTATATTTATATTTATATTTATATTTATATTTATATTTATATTTATATTTATATTTATATTTATATTTATATTTATATTTATATTTATATTTATATTTATATTTATATTTATATTTATATTTATATTTATATTTATATTTATATTTATATTTATATTTATATTTATATTTATATTTATATTTATATTTATATTTATATTTATATTTATATTTATATTTATATTTATATTTATATTTATATTTATATTTATATTTATATTTATATTTATATTTATATTTATATTTATATTTATAATTATACCATTTTCAAGATAGAACATTTCAACACCAAAAATACCAGCACCATATAAACATGCAATAGCTTGTTCAGCAATAGCTTTAGCATTCTTTTGAATTAAACCATCAATTTGAGCTGGAGCAAAGACAATATGACATATATTGTCTTTTTGAATAGTTTCGACAGTTTCATATGAAACAGTGTTACCGGATTTGCTACGAGCAACCATAACAGCTAATTCTTTCTTGTATGGAACCCATTTTTCAACATATAAAGCATTATCTGCTCCAGTTGGGTTCAAAGTTTTAATTGCATTTTCAATTTCACTTTCGTTATTAATAACAGTATTACCTCTTCCATCATAAGCTAACTTTCTAGACTTTAACATTATTGGGTAACCAAAACCTTTATTGTTAACAATGTCTAAAATAGATTGTTTATCAGTAACACTTGCGTACTCTGGAATTGGAATGTTAAAATTTTTAAGATGTTCCTTTTGAAGGAATTTATCTTGAATAATTCTAACAGTTTGTGGAGTTGGTTGGATATCAATATTTGGATTTTCTTTAGCAACACGGTCAAGAGCATCACAGTTAACATGTTCAATTTCCATAGTTAAAACATCGCATTTCTTGGCTAATTCTTGGATTTTAGCTTCATCCTTGAAATCACCATCAACATGGTCAGAGACTTGAACTTGAGTAGCTGGGGCACCTTTAGCATCAAGAATATTGACCTTTAAATTTAAATTGTTGGCTGGTTCCATCATCATACGTCCCAATTGACCGCCACCAAGAACTCCTATTATATTAAAAATTAAAATTAATAATAAAAATTAGTAAACATTAATGAAATAGTTATTAAAAAAAATTAAATTTCGAAATTTCAAATTATTAAATAAGATTCAATTACTTATAAACAAATATTTATAAATTGTTTTTATTAATTTTATTAAATTCCATACCGATAACTTTCTTATCCATGTTAATTTTTATTATTATTTAAAATTAAACAAGTGTTATATTTTTTATATTATAAATTAAATAATTTATAAATAATAATAATATATTGATACTCTTTTTTTTTTAAAAAGTGAAGAATAAAAAAATATTTTTTTTTCTTTTGTAATTTTTTATTTGCAATATATTTAATTACTAATTTTTAATTTTTATGTATCAAAATTATGTATTCGATTATTGATTGGATAAAATGATACATTTTTAATTATCTATGAATTATATCTTTTAAATATTTATAAATAAGTATAATTAACAATTGATTTATTTAAAAAAGCAAAAAATCTCTAACCCATATGAATGTATTATATTACCTTTTTTTTATTTATTATATAAGTATGAATAAATAAAGTGATATAATAATGAAATAATAAATAAAAATAAAAATGCAACTACTTGTATAATGACTAAAAAAAATTAAAATAATAATGTTGATATATTTAATTTTATTAATCTATAAAAAAATTTATTTATATTACAAAAGTTAAATTAGTTCATTATTGATTTTTAAACTATCAAATATGTTGTCTTTTAAGTAAGAAAAACTTATTATCAGAAGCAAAGTTAACTTTCACTAATTTTGATATTAACATAACTAATTCAACTTAAGTAGGTAATTTATTATATTAATTATATGATATTGTTGATTTGAACAGTCTTTTTTTTTAACCATATATAATTACTGTTTTACAGAATTTCTTTAAAAAAAAAAAAAATCTGATTTTAATTTCTATATATATGAATTTCAAAATAAAAATATCTTTATAATTTATTTCAAGATATATATTTTTAGGTTTTTTAATTAACCCAAAAGCATAATTCATTGAGTGTTAAGTGTTTATTAATAAATTGTTATTTTATTCTTGAGTTTTTTTTTTCTTATTCAATTTTAAAAGATTAATAAATTTTAATAATTAAAATTTTAATTTATTTAATATATTATAAAATATATTATTTGATATTTTTTTTTGTCTATTTTTTAAACTTTAATTTATTATGTTTTTTTTTTTTTTTTTTAATTTTTTCTAATGTATTTTATTTTCTTTTAATTTTTTTTCTTATTATAATAAAGAAAGATAAAATTTAAATTTGTTATTTTTAATAATTATCAAAAAATAAATTTTACTATTTATTTATTTATTATGAAAATAATATATTATCATAAAAACGAGATACAATATTAAAGCTAAGTTTTTTTTTCTTTTGTGTGTAAAGATTAGTTGAAATGACAAAAAAACACATTAATAATAAAAAAACAAATTATTCTAATGGTATTTAATTATACATTTATTAGTTATTTAAAAAAAATTAAATTATTTTATTAATTGAATGAATAAATCTTTAACGGAATTGGTAGGTCTTGATAATAATTTCAATGAAAAGACTATATTTAATTTTTCTGGAAATACAAATGAAGCGTATGAAAAACGAAATACATTACCTAGTAGATATACTCGTAATATATTTTTATAATTATTTTTTATAATTTGTATATAAAAATATTTTTATAATATTATTAAATTATGAGAATATAATAATTTAAAAATTAATAATATTTTTTATATATTAATATATTTTAACATATCGTACATAAAGATTTATTAAGAAAAAGAAGAAGAGGCAATCAAAATGAAATTATTGCTGTAAATAATGTATAATTAATAATATCAATTTATTATTATATTAATAAATTTTATTAATATCATTAAAATAACAAAGAAAAAAAATTTATTTTTATATTGGAAAATTTAAAGAATCATAAAAATTTTGAATTCTCTAGTTATTATCAGAATATACAATATAAAAGAAAAGAAAAATGGTGGAAAAATCCGGATTTGCCACAAATTATTCATGGGTATTTTTTTTTGATAATATTAATAATATTAACTGATTTTATATGAAATATTTATATATTATTATAATTAATTTAAATAATTTATATTTAAATATTTTTTTATATATTAACCATAATGTAGATATTTTCTTCTTTTTTTTAGTGTATTAATTTTTAGTATCATTGGAATAGTAGTTTTACAATTATTTTTAACGATAAGAAGGGATTTAAAAAATAAAGCAGCAATGCATTCATCAGGTAATATTATAATAGTAATAATAATAATAATAACAACAACAACAATAATAATTTTATATTTTTAAAATGATTTAATTTATATACTCTTATTTTCTTTAAAAAAGAAATTGTACAACAAATATTGGAATGTTCAAATCAATATCATATTAATCATTGTAATCCAAAAGAACGCGTTCCAGCAATGCAAAAAATATGTAGTGAATGGGAATTATGTATGAATAGAAATCCAAAGGATATTATTATGTATGCATTAATCAAATATATTTTTAAATATAATAGTGAGTATTTATTAACAATTTATTTATTATGTTCATTAGGTCAGAAGTTGGTGCAGAAACCATAGCAGAAACATTAAATCAATTTGTTAAACCATTAGAAGTCAAAACTGTGGTATGTGTATTTGAAAAGTTATCAATTATAGAGTTTATTATATATATATTATTTTTAAATTATAATAATAAATTTTTATATTGTTGTAATTAGATTATTATTGCTGTATTAATTGTTGGAATTGTGATTCTTTCTAATCTATTTTTCTTTTTGTTCAGACATTTTAATCATGATAAAACAAGATATCATATTAACCATAAACAATTTATTCCTTCAATACAAATGACACCGGAAGAATATATCAAATATAAATATTTAACTGAGTAATTTTAAACAGTTTTTAAATGATACCATTATGATTTATATTTAAGAAAGTTTTTATCGATTTATATACACCCATAATTTATGATTTTTGTTATTTTTATATATATATTTATTATTTTACATTATTTTACATTATTATTATAATTCTTATTTTTCATCATAAAAATTTTTGTAATTTTTATCTTAATCTTCAAAATATGTTAATATTTCATTTATAAATAATATTTACTTTTTTTTGATAATAGATATCTAATATAAATTGATTTATACTATAGATAATAATAACTATTATTCGATGAAATGCATTAATAGAGGATAATTATTTTCAGATTGTATTGATATGTAGCATTCTTTTATCTAAATATTAAAGTATATTATATTACCATTATTGTTTATACTATTTAATAATAAATATAATTAATAAAAGTGTTAAAATAAAATAAAAGTAGAAAAAATTTATACCAATTATTGTATATATTTTATAGATAATATACTCAAAGTTTTTAATATAATTGAAATTTAATTTTCAAATAATTTTTTCATATTAATGGTTTAAATATAATTTTACTATAGTTTTTTATTTAAATAAACTTTATTTAATTAAAATATAGGTATTAAATTAATTAATTATCTCTCTTTTACAACTAATAATAAGATTTATAATTATTAAAATTATAAAACAAATGAAAATTTATAATATTTTTATATTAATAATTTTCATGTTGTTATCTGGTGTAAGAAACAATTTTTAAAAAGTATGAAAATAAATAAATAAATAAATAAATAAATAAATAAATAAATAAATAAATAAATAAATAAATAAATAAATAAATAAATAAATAAATAAATAAATAAATAAATAAATAAATAAATAAATAAATAAATTAAAGGTAATAATTATTTTATAATGTTTTAATGATATATTAAAATTACTTTTTAATATCTTATTTACCTTTTTTTTTATTATTTTTTTTTTATTTTATAAAAGAAAATTAGTAGCAATTTAGAGAAAAATTTTAAATTTGGTAAAATTATTTTTAAGAGTGGATTTAATGATATATTAAAATTATTTTTTAATATCTTATTTACCTTTTTTTTTATTATTATTTTTTTTTTATTTTATAAATGAAAATTAGTAGCAATTTAGAGAAAAATTTTAAATTTGGTAAAATTATTTTTAAGAATGGATTTAATTTAATTAAATAAATGTTTAATTTTAAATTTTTGTTTTTATTTTTATTTTTTTTAAACTATTTTAAAAATTAAAATTTAATTTTATTAAAAATTTTTTTAAATTGTTGCAAAAAAAATATTATCATATTTATTATATTTACACATAGAACAAATATAATAATTAAAAAATTATATCAAATAAAAAAAAATAATATTCTATAGTTAGTATAAAAACAACAATAAATATAAATATAATAAACATAAATATAGAATATTATTATGAATAAAAAAACCTCAAATATTAAAAAAATAATACCATTAAGTCCAAATGAGGAAAAGGCATTTCAAGAAAATGAAGAAAGGAAAAAAAGAATACTAAGACTGCAACAAGTTCGTAGCCAAGGGAAAACAATATCTGAGAATAAAACTTCAATATATAATTCAAGTGTTGAAGAAGAATTAAAACATTTAATTAAATTAATTAAGGTATTGTCAAAGATATAATATATTTTTAATTATTATAATGTTAATATTATTTTATATTAATTCAAAAAAGGCAGAATGGAACAAAAATTATGTTAAAAAGGTTGATAATTTCTTTGAACTAAAAAAGATAACTAAAAATTATATTGGGGCTGCTCAAGCAAATGCAAAAATTCAACGAAATGAAGAAGTAAATGATACATATATTTTTACACTATATGATTATTTATATGATATGATATACATACTTTTAACGTTATTATTTATCAATTTTTATATAATTATTTATTTTTGTATATAATTTTTTTTATTATATATTATTCTTTTAGGAATTAAAAAAAGAAAAACTTTTAATCAAGCTGTATGATGATAGAATAAAAGAAAATGAAAGATATATCGAAGCACGAAGAAAAGTACTAGTTTAATTCATTGATAATAATATAATATATATAAAGATATTAATAATTTATTTTTTTATCATTACATATAATAGCAATGCCAAGAATCATTAGAAAAAGTACAAGATATAACAAATTATATTAAAAATCAGTATATTGCTGTAACGACATCAAATAAACGAGAAAAATGTTTAATAGATCAGTATCGAGAAAAACAAAGAAATATGACATTTTTGGATGATAATAATACACT